TACAATGTGCTTTAGAAAAGTGATTTAAATACAAATTAATTTTTGTAATTTGAAAAAAAAAAATACAGACAACAACGGGGAGAACCAAGATGGTGGCATAGGTAAATGTCTGGACTTTCCGCCCCCCCCCCCCCCCCCCAATCACATCAAAATTACAACTAAAATACAGGACAACCATTATTCAGAACCACCTGAAAGCTGGCTGAATGGAAGTTGTACAACTAAAGAAGAAAAGAAGAAAGCACATTGAGACTGGTAAGAGGGGCAGAGACAAGGCTGGCCTGACACCTACGTGTGACTTTTTTTTAATCTGTAGGGAGATCATCTCTGCAAAGACCATCAGTGAGACCAGGGGATCCCAGGTGCAACCAGAACGCCAGCCCCAGGTTCCAGAGCTGGGAAGAGAAGTCCAGGAACTTCAGGCTGAATGAGATGGAGGCTGTGGAAGAACCACGTGTTCCTTTTAAGAGGCCAGCACACAAACTTACTTAGAGTTGATCCCTCTGAGCTCCAGGCTGGGAGACTTTGGGAAACCCAAACACATAAGGAGAAGAACTGTAGTGTCTGGCATTAGGGCAGGAACTCGGGGGTGGCTTTCTCCCAGATGGGGGTGCTTCCAGAGGTCATTGTTCCTGTGCTGGGTCCGCCCCATTGCAGAGATGGCTGGCAGCCATATCTGAGTTTCCATCAGTGTGACTCACACTTCTCACACTTCACTGAACCCTGGAGATTCCCTGAGGCCCCACCCTAACAATTTGCAGCCCCACCCAAGCTGTTTGTAGCAGTTTTTCCATATGAATGGCCTGTCTGGCTCAGACTTTGCTAAAATCTCTCAAACAAACTGCAACTGGCAACAGCATGTCCCAATAAAAGGCCCAAAACCCAGCACTAACAAAAGTCTGCCTTGCTTCACAGCTGGGCCTCATCTGGGCATTTCCAAACCCAATACAAATAGCAGCTGTCTGTGGATCTCTCTGTAGTTCCTGCTGGGTAGCCCCAGGCAGTGGCTGACTTTGCACATCTCTGGAGGACCTAAAGCCAGTGCATAGCTTCACACCCTAACAGATTACAACTCTACACATCCACAAGCTATCAAGGGGCTAACTCAGTGAGCACCACTGAAGCAAGTCCTGCTCCATAGGGGTGTCTCCTGCACAGCAGCTCTTCCATTGTAGTCACAGCTGGTCCTCAGAGCCAACTGGCCTGGAGGTCAACTCCTCCCAGTGACCCAACAGCAATCAAAGCTCAACTACATAACAAGACTGCCCACACAGGGGTGCACCTAGAGTGCCCAGCTCAGGTGAGGCTGAGCCACTGGGCCCTACAGGACACCTAATACACAAAGCCACTCTAAGAATTCTAAGAGACATTTCAGCTCTGCCTAATACATAGACATTTCAGCCCACCCTAATACAGGGAAGCAGCCAAAATTTGGAAACAAAGAAACATGTTACAAATGAAAGAAATGGAAGCAAACAAACTAATGGATACAGAGTTCCAAACAATGGTTATAAGGTTACTCACGTATCTAAATGAGAGCTTCAAGGGACTCAAAGATAGCTTCAAAGGACTTAGTAAGACTTTCAAGGATCTTAATGAGAATGTCAAAGACAGGTGAGGATGCACGGCATGCTCACAACCCTGGTCGACCCTGAACCTGCTGCTCCAGGACACTGAATGGCCTCTGCCCCAGTGACATCATCTCTCCCAAATTGGAGCCTCATCATGGAGCCCTCATCAACCACAGCACTCACCACAACTCCTAAGAGCCTATCAATGTGCTCACATGAGGGACAACTGGGTCTGTATCCTGGAGAAGCAAACATCATGCGGAGAGTGCCTTGTGCACAGTGCCAGCACATCCAGGCACCCAGGGAGTATCTGCTGAGTGAATCCCATGCCATGTGGAAACATCAACTGTCCACTGTGGACTGCTTTTCTCCTTCATGTGCTAATGCTGGTCCGACATATGCTGAGTTCTGGAGTCCTTACTTGGTCTTCACCCGCTATAATCTAGAACCTACATCTTCTAGTGAAAGACTTACAGACTTGCATGGACCCTGAAAATAGAGCTGAAATGGGAAGGGAAGGTCATGACAAGGCTCCCCGAGGATGTCCAGAGCGCATCAGCAGAGTGATGCTCTAGGTTACTGGACCATACTTAGGGTGCACGGCATGTAGTATAACATCTCTTTCAGCTCTTGCATCAGAACTGTGCCTACAGTGAAAAAGTATCAAGTAAACACCTATTTTTAGTTAAATTTCCAGAGTAACAGAACTAGCAACATTTTACACACCTTCCAATAACTCCTGACCACAAGAAGGCTTAGAGTCTGAACAGTGGGAGCAGTGTCTCCAGGTGCCATAGCCAGCCTTTTCCATTACCTTCATCTCCTGCTCCTCAGAGGCACCCACTTTCAACCTGGGAGTTCCAAGTGCTGTTTGGATGTTTTACTGTAGCAGCATGGCGTATTCACAGGGCGTGCCCCATCTTTCTAGCTCCTCGGAGTAAATAGGACTTTATGTAATTCCCACTGCATTTCCTACAAAAGTAAGCACTACAGAGTGCTTACTTTTAAACTCCCTCCTGCTGTTTCCTCGCTGACCCTCTGAGGGGTGTGTCACAGGGAAGTACCCACCCCCGGGATATGACTCCCCAGGATGTGACCACAGTATGTCTGAGTGGGGCCCAAGCATGTACATTTCTCACCAGTTCCAGGTGATGCCAAGGCTGCCGTCTAGTGGCCTCTGAGGGACACTAACTTGCTCTCACTGGTTCTGTTGAGACTCAGTGGTGGTGACACTGCTCGTGCCAGAAGGTCACTGTGTGGGCTAGGGGAAATACAACACAAATGCCTGGAACAGCCAATGCTCAAAAAAGGGCCCATCTCCTACCTTGAGGGACAATACCAGGGAGCCTGTGGACCTGCTGGCGCAAAGCCTCCACTTTCTTAGGAAATTTACTCTCAACCACACACCTTCAGGAGCTGGAGTGCTCCCAGGCAATACCCAACTGAATTTCATTCTCCCATGGGGCAAACTTTGACCCATATTTCCCAAATCTTTATACTAGTATACTTATGAATACTTTGCCCCTCTGCCCCTCCCGAGATTCACAACTGTGTGAGTGTACAGGGAGGGAGAGAATACAATGGAATAACTGATCCATATCTGGAATGATAGCTCTACATCAAAACAGAAAACATGGTCCTCTCTGGATGGGGTTATGGGTGACTCTTCTTCTCCATTTAGCCTTCCCCTTGTGTTCTCACAGTCTGCCCCAAACTAACCAGCCCAATGAAGAATGTCACGCCTTAAACACACAGACAGATGGGACAGATGACACAACGCCACCCACTGCTCCACTTGCCACACAATATCCACCCCCAGTCCCATTTCTCCGATGTTCTTTTTTGTTATTAATCCTCACCCAATGATATTTTTTTTTAAAAGAAAGTAGAAAGGAAGAGGTAGGTGGAAGGGGAGAAGATGAAGAAGGAGGGGAAGGGGAAGGAGGTGCGAGGAAGGAAGCTGGGGGGGAGGGGAGGAGGAGGGAAGGGGGAGAGGAGGAGAAAGGAGGAGAAGGGAGAGGGGAGGTGGAAGGGGAGGAAGAAGGGGGGGAGTGGAAGGGAAAGGGGAGGAGAGTGGAGTGGAGGAGGAAGGGAGGAAGAAAAGGAGGGAGGATGCATCTTTCCCTCCAGGAAAAGAGATGAGAGAGGTGTTATTTGCTTTTTCTTCAGCCTTACTATGTTGTAAATGTGTGAAGTTCTGCCCAATTCTGTTCTCTCTTGCTGATGCTCCACATACATGTATGCAATCTGACAAGTTCACACAGTAAGGAGTCCGGTTTGTTTCTTTCCACGCTGAGGTGGGTAGGTTTGTGAGGGTAGGACTGATTTCTCCGATATGCAGAGACGTGACATGTCACCCCCACCACCTTTCCACTCATGTCCCTCCATTGTAGGCCTGCGGTAAATGCAAGCTCACATCCCCATCACTGATCACCGCACCCTCTTCAGGTCTTCCCATTGCCCCACAATCCCTCCTACCATCTTCCAGGCACCTACCAGCCGCTCCAAGTCCCCGCTCTCTCTCCAGCCCCCTGCCTCCCTCATGCTTCAGGTCCCCCCATCCCCCTAGGCTCCCATCATCCCCTCCAGGTCCCCACGGCTCCTCTAGGCCCTTCATTATCCCCTCCAGGTTTCCACCATCACCATGGCCCCCATTATCTCCTCTAGATCCCCACCATCTCCCTTATTCCCCTTAGGCCCCCACTGTCCTCTCCAGGTCCCCAATCATCCCCTTAGCCCTTCACTATCCCCCTGTACCCCACCTTTGGCCCTTCTGTCGTTTTTCTCAGCCCGGCCCGCAACCCACCACCTACCGCAGTCCCCGGGGCCCTGGGAAGAGGGGGGTCCTCACTGCCAGACAGACCAGGGACGACGCGCTCGGAGTCTCGCTTGAGGCGCGAAGATGAGGAGACTCGGGGCGGGCGCGGGGCGGACCGGAGCCGGTCGGGGTTCGGGGGCTGCCCAGCGGCCGCAGCACCTGCGCCGGGGAGGGCCGCGCCGTGCGCATGCGCCCAGGCCCGCGCCCGCCGCGCCGGCTCCGGCGGCAACTCTGCCCGGGCGTCTGGGTTCCGCTCGGCGGCGCCCGGCGCTGGTGTGCGCCTCGCGGTCTCGTTCCCGCCGCGCGGGTGCCCCCGGCTTCTGTGCGGAAGGAGTTGTACGAAGTGCTTCCCTTCTCCTCCCGGGTTCACGCGCAAGGCAGTGGGAGCCCCGAGGCCCGCTTCCGGCTTCCGCCCTCTCCCGGCGGCGGCACCGGCACCAGCACTGCGTCCTCCGGAGCTTTTCCCCCGCCCCAGCCCCAGCCCCTCCGCTCTCGGTAGACCCTTTCCGGATCCTCCCCACCTGAAACTTCCCCCTTCCTCTCCCTCCCCCTCCCGGCCCCCCGCCCTCAGCAGCCCCGCACGCGCCCCAGGATGCGGAGCGGGGCCTGGCATGGACCGGGAGACGCGCGTGTTCGCCGAGAGCCATTTCCGAGGCCTCCGGGGGCGCCTCCCCAGCAAGGTCTCTCCGACGCCGGACCGTGTGGACTTTATCGAGAAGCCCGACTCCTTCTCCTACACGGACTTCTTCAAGAGTTACCTGCTGCCCAACGTGCCCTGTGTTTTCTCCAGCGCCTTCACTGAGCACTGGGGCTGCAGGAAGCGCTGGGTGATGCCCAGCGGGAAGCCCGACTTCGACCACCTGCTGCAGAGTTATGGTAAGGACGGAGGGCGAGCGCAAACACAGGACCAGAGCGGAGTCCTCTTACTCTCCTCCTGCCAATTGCCCTTAGGCCATACCTCCAGGGGCGCAAATGCGGGTAGCCACTGAGGGTTGGGGGAGAAGGCATGAGTGGGCTCCCAGAGGCATTCATGCGGAGACGGCCTGAGCACCGAGCTGGAGGGGTGGACAGGATCGGAGACCATGAAGAAGCTGGAGGACTCGGAAAAGTATCTGCCTGACCCTCCCTTTTCAGGAGATGTAGTTGTGCCTGTTGCAAACTGCGGGGTCCAGGAATACAACTCGAACCCTAAAGAACACATGCCCCTCAAAGATTACATCAGCTACTGGAAAGAGTTCATCCGGGGAGACTACTCCTCTCCACGGGGCTGTCTCTACCTCAAAGACTGGCACCTGTGCAGGTAAAGGTGTGGTGCAAGGGCGCTGCTTTTTCCAGATTTGAGTGAGCCCTGGCCGCACACAGTTAGGAATTTTAATCCGTACTTTTAAAAAATCCAGCTCTGCGGCACGGTGTGGCCATCCCATGGTGTGCATGCAGTTGGCGGCTGTGGAGAAGCGGGATTGGTGGAGGTGCAGGTGGACTCTGGGAATTACATCTTTGTCACATTTGCTCAGAGCTGAAGGCTCCACATCCCTCTCGCTGGCAGCACCCAGCCTGCCTCCCCCTGCTCAGATGCCCCCCTGCATCAGTCTCCCTTTCCAGCCCTCTCTCTCTAGGTCCAGCCTGTTGTGCTGCCAGTCTCCTGACTGGCTGCCTGCCTGCCGGGCCCTGCACCCCACTGCTAGGCTCACTCAGGTGCAACTGCTCTTTAAGCTGTGGCCCACCGGCTTAAAACCTCATCACTGCTGAGCGGCACCAACTCTCTAAAGAGGGCTTTCTTTGCTCCCTCCTGCACACTTCCACCTGGGGAGCTCAAACGCTGCTGCCCTGAAAACATCTCCCTCTCACTGTGGTGACCACGTTCTGAGGGGGTCTTCTGGTTTTGTTTCCATTTCCCCCACCCAGGGGCATGCTTTCCACAGGCAGAAACCATCCTAATCAGGCTCCCCTTAGTTAACTAATGTTGGACGAATGAGTGCACAAATTGAATTCTTGTTTTGCTGATGTGGAAACTCAGGCTCAAAAAGGTAAAATGAGCCGAGACCGGTTTGGCTCAATGGATTAGAGCGTCGGCTTGGGGACTGAAGGGTCCTGGGTTCGATTCCGGTCAAGGGCATGTACCTTGGTTGTGGGCAAATCCCCAGTAGGGGGTGTGCAAGAGGCAGCTGATCGATGACTCTCATCGATGTTTCTAACTCTCTATCTCTCTCCCTTCTTCTCTGTACAAAATCAATAAAATATATTAAAAAAAAAAAAAAAAGGTAAAATGAGACTAGAACTTAGGCCCATGTGATTCCAAGACCACTGCTAGAACAACGAGGCACGCCAGCGCCAGCCCCCACCCACAGCACACACAGCATGTCCTCGGTGTTCCTGCCACAGCTCTTTGGATTGGGCATGGGACTTTCTGTGTAGACAGTGGTTAAGGTGTGACCAGACACTGACTCTGGCCCTCAGACACTCATAGGCCCTGATGCTTATGCAGTGTGGGTATGAGCTTCAGATAAGTAATGAGGGGAAGGGGGGTGTTTGTTGCTTTTTTGGTGTGAATATATCCCAAGTATTGCATGGGGCACACTTGTACTAAAAACTTGATTGTATGTTTGAAATTAGGTTTTGACTGAGTGTTCTGGCAACAGTAAAATGAAAAGAGCAGAGAGGCCTGGGCTAGGCAGACACGGGAGGCACTGTCTGAGCAGGGCTTGCGAATGGGCAGGAGTCTGGGTGCACAAGGCCTGGTGCTGGGGGAGCTCCAGGTGTTTGGTGGTACTGGGTTCTCCTGGCTGCTGACCAGGCATGATGTGTGAGCCTGCCTGGCATTCTCCCTGGGGCCGGGTTAACATGTTCCTGTGTCTGAGAGCCCATGGTCGGGTTGTGGGATCCACCAGTGGAGTAAGGATTTGAGAGACTGAGGCTGAAGAGGACCTTGGTGTTCAAGGCAGCCCTTGTGCGAGGGCCTGTGGCCTTGTGTCTGCTCAGCAGAGTCAAGATCACAGGTGTGGGTGAAAACACCAAAGCAACCCACAAGTTTGGAAAACAGTGTCACTCCATTGATGCATTTAGAACCCAACTCTAAAATCCAACAGTCTGAAATCCCAAACCATGTGCCAGAGGGCCCAGAGCACGTGGGTTCTACCTCCATGGGGGGGGGGGGGGGGTGTCTAGCCCTGTCACAGCACCCTCAGCCATCTCATCTACTTACCACCCTGGTTCAGGTATTTGGGCGAGCCCAGCTAGGCTCATCTGATGGTCAGACCAGGGCTGGGTCATCTGAGGTGGCCCCATTCAGCCTGGCAGTTGGTGCTGGCCCTGGAAGGCAGCTCAGGGGCCCTCATATCAGTGCCCATTGGGTTTGGGAGCGTGGAGATGGCAGCATCCTCATGTCGCTTGCTCTCTGAAGGTACTCCTCTGCCGAGGACTTATTCACCCTGCCCGTGTACTTCTCGTCCGACTGGCTCAACGAGTACTGGGACACCCTGGATGTGGACGACTACCGTTTCATCTACATGGGACCCGCTGGCACCTGGTAACCGTGTGCCCACTCCCACCCACTGCCCTGCACCCTGTCCCTGGCCACTCTCCTGAACCATGCTGCACTCTCTCAGAGCCTCTGGGAGATTACCCTTGGCCAGGCCATGGAGTCAGCTGCCAGGTCTGGCATTTCCAAACCCATTTCCTTCTTTATGACTCTGCTCAGAACTGGTGTCCCTCCTGCGGGATATTCTGAAGCGGGGAAGGTCTGGCTCACCCCTGTGGCTTACGGATAGGTGTGAGAGCTGGGGACCTAGGGCCTGTAAGTGTGGCCAGTCTATTTGGAAGAACCGAAGCCCACACCCAGACCACGAGACACCAACGGGGACTTTCCACAGGTCACCGTTCCATGCCGACATTCTCCGCTCCTACAGCTGGTCTGTCAACATCTGCGGGAGGAAAAAGTGGCTCTTCTTCCCACCAGGGCAAGAAGAAGCCCTGCGGGATAGCCACGGTGGCCTGCCCTACGATGTGACCGCCCCTGAATTCCTGGAGAGCCACCTGCATCCGGTGCTGGAGGTCACGCAGGAGGCAGGCGAGATGGTGTTTGTGCCCAGTGGGTGGCACCACCAAGTCCACAATCTGGTAGGGTGGGCACACCCCGCTCCATGTGCCCAAGAGGTAGTCCAGGCAGGCACGGAGACATGCCATGAGGTTTACCAGGCTGGCCTTGACCCCCTTTCGCCTGGGCCCCTCAGCCTGCAGACTTTTCTTGATGCTTCCTGAGGAGAGAGGGCTGTGCCGTCCCTGCTGGCTCCACGGTTGGCTCTGCCTCTGGGAGAGCCCCGGTGTGTGACGAGGCCGGCCACAGTGAGGCTGGGCCCATGTGTAGGCATGTTGACCCCAGTCAACATGGCGAAGGGTTCCCTCCCTCCCACATTACTTTCCCCAGGGGCCCCACCTTGGGTTAGCTATGGACTCAGGTGGTCCCAGACTCGGTTCTCTCTTGCCTGCTGACACCCCCAGGGAGATAGGAGGGGGAGCCTTTCTCAGATGAGGAGGGCTGGGAGGACCTCAGGATGGGGGAGGGGACACTGCCCTGTGGGCTTGTGAGGACAGCCTGCAATCTGCCTCTTCCAGGAGGACACTATCTCCATCAACCACAACTGGATCAATGGCTGTAACCTGGCCAACACGTGGCGTTTCCTGCAGCAGGAGCTGTGTGCCGTGCAGCAGGAGGTCAGCGAGTGGAGGGACACCATGCCAGACTGGCACCACCACTGCCAGGTGGGGTATTTGGCCCGGACAAGACTGAGGACAGGGAGGGGCCAAGGCATGGGAGGTTGGCGAGAGCTCCCCAGAGACAGGGCTGCAGTGGGGGGAGGGGTGGCTATCTGGTCTGCTGGGAAGAGGGTCAGTCTGAGGCTGAGGCAGATCACCGGGGCTCAGACCACTCCATCACTGGCTGGCCCCCAGGTATCTGACTCCATCCTCAAAGACTGGTCCATGGCTTTGGATCCAAAGGATCCTTGGACTCTGTCCACAATCAGCAGAAACTTGCCTAGAGTTGCAGGTGAGCTCATTGGCCTGTCCTCTCTGCTCCAGGTCATCATGAAGTCCTGCACCGGAATTAATTTTGAAGAATTTTACCACTTCCTCAAGGTCATTGCTGAAAGGAGGCTCCCCTTAGTGAAGAAGATAGGCCCTGGTGAAGTGCGATGCAGTGAGGGCTCTGGCCTGGGCCCCCAGCATGCCATTTTTGACATCAGCCGGATTGCTGAGGTGCTGGCGTCTGTGGTGGTCAACCCCGACTTCCAGAGAGTGGACACGAGCAAGTTTTCGCCGCAGCCTGAGGACCTCCTACAGCAGCTGCAGGAGGCCCTGGCCACCACAGACCCCCTTTAGTGTGTACCATGAGCTTTAGTTGGCAGCCTGACAAGGACCCTCGAGGCCCTGCTCCAGGGTCCCTTCCAGAAATAAAGCTGCATCCTCTGTGTGGGCTGGGACATGTCGCCTCCCAGATACGGTTCCTGCTCTTAAGAGCCTGCTACTGTCCTGGCATCCCAGACTCCAGTGCCTGTCCAGAGGGTCCAGGTTCCTTGTCCTTGTGAGGCCCAGCAGGACTGGGGACTCAGATCTGGTGAGTGGGTGGGTGCGGAGTTGTTGCTAGCTTGGAGCTGTGGCAAGGCTGTGGGTATGCTGGAGTGTGAGCAGCATGTGGCTGATTTTTCTTGGTGTCCCTAGCCCTCCCTTAGCAGAGACCAGCACCAAGCTGTTGGGCTTCCCATCACAGCAGCACAGGGCAATGAATTGTCTCGCAGGCCCACTCCACAATAGCATCACACACACCCCAAGTCCACGCCGATTCCTCTGGAAGCAAGCCCCTGGGGGTGGGGTAGAGACTGGGGCCCAAGGCACCTCCATGCTGCCAGGCCTGCGTCTCTATCCCACATTCGAACCACTGTTCAAATAGCTCTCTCCTTCCCTCCACTGGCCCCTGGCCCCCTTGGCAAGGTCCTGAACCAGAGATGTCATACTGGTCTGAGCTCTAGGCCACGCCTTCAGGTATCACAGGCACTGTATTCAGAGGACACTCAGGCCCCCTGGCAGTAAGTGACAAGTCAGAACATCCGTTGTCTCCCTTCTGCCTGCTGCGGTAACACCTTCTTCCGAGACTCCATTCACCGAGAGCCCTTTGCTCCCAACCAGCAGTAAGAGGGCCCTGATTGGGGTCTACCTCAGGCCAGATGGAGCCCAGGCCTCTTCCACACCTTGCACATCCATTCTGCACCATCCACCTACTTGTTGCATACTTTGCAAACTGATTCAACAACCACTCTGCACACTCACTTTCCATCCGTTTCCCTGCCCTTACACATCTCTTCTGTGCCAGGCAAATCAACTTACACATTTTAACCTCTGCATGCTTATCTGCACCATCCAACCTCTACCACCGCACACCTGTGTGTCACTGTCATGGTGTAAGTGCTCTCCAGGGAAATGAAACCAAGCTGTCTGAAAAGAGATAGGGAGGGTGAGTGTGAGTCTGCAGAGAAGGCTGGACTCAGGCAAGGTTTCTGTGTTGCATCTGGAGGCAGAATTGCTTCTTCATAAACCTTGGTTCTTGCTCGTAAGACCTCAACTGCTTGGACAAGGCCCACCCACATAATGGCAGAGTCATCTGCTTTATTCAGTCTGCTGAGTTACGCATGAATCTCCTCTAAAAACCTTTGACAGCAGTATCCACCCTGGTGTTTGACCAAGTGGCACTGTGGCCTTGCCACATTGGCATATAAATGTGACCAGTGTAATCACTCTGTTCATTTGGACTCGGCAGTCACTGCTTCCTCCAGCACCCACTTCTGAACACGCCCACACTGACATTCAGCCGTCTCCACAGTTACTGCAGGCAATCCAATAACCCCTGTGGTGTCCTCACCTGTCCCCATGCTCTTCCATTTGACTCTGTCAGTACAATTCTCTGAGTGTTGTGTGTGTTTTTAGTCCTCACCCAAGGATATTTTCCCATTGATTTTTAAAGAGAAGGAAAGACAGAGAAATACTGATGTGAGAGAAACACATCGATTAGTTGCCTCCTGCATGAGCTCAGACTGGGAAGAGCCTGCAACCAAATTACGTGTCCTTGACCAGACTCGAACCTGGCGCTCTTTGGTCTGCAGGCTAATGCTCTATCCACTGAGCCACACCAGTTAGGGCTCCTGGGTGTTTTTCAACCACTGGTTTGCCACAGCGTGTGACTTCATGTCACTGTGCAATTCTGCAACCATCCTTTGCACATTCATCCTATACCAACCAACATCCACTGTTTGCATGCCCTGTAACATTTAATCACTGCACACTGTAATTAATAAGTCACGGTATCATTCTCCAAACTCACACTTTGCATACCCAGAGTTTGCCATTCACAGTCAACTTTTACCCACTCACCATGTGCAGCTCAACAACTAATCTGTGTTTGCATCTCTCTCCATCCAACTTTTCCTCCAGCACACCCCCCGTGGCATTTAACTGCTTTAATGCTCACAGACTGCACAGCCACCGTGTGCTATTCAACAATGTCTTGTTGCACACTCCCTGTGCAAGAGCCACTCTGAACACTTACTGGTTACCAACCATTGTTCACCATTCTGCTCTTTCCAGCTCCCATCCTGCACCACTGTGAGCCAGTGCTTGCACACTCACTGCAAGTCAACAATCATTGCATGCATGTCAATTCAGTCTTTCCTTGCACATTAGCACTACATTATCCAAGTTCCACTGAGCCATCAATAATCACCTCACAATCACTGGTTGGACAATCTCTTGCATCATTTTGCTCTCTCCTGTGTCTAATTGCACAGTCACTGGGCCCTGCACAAGGTGACAACTGTAGCCATCATGGGGGAAGGGATAACAGCTCCACATTTTTAAAAAATATATTTTATTGATTTTTTACAGAGAGGAAAGGAGAAGGATAGAGAGCTAGAAACATCGATGAGAGAGAAATTTTGACCAGCTGCCTCCTGCACACCCCCCCTGGGGATGTGCCGGCAACCAATGCACATGCCCCTGACTGGAATCAAACCTGGGACTCTTCAGTCTGCAGGCTGACGCTCTATCCACTGAGCCAAACCAGTTTCAGCTGCTGCCCCACATTTCACCCTGCTTCTGCCGTTACAAGCTGTATATTTTGAAGCTGTTGGAAAAAAGTAGGCTAGATCAGTGGTGGGCAAACTCATCAACAGAGCCAAATATCAACAGTACAACGATTGAAATTTCTTTTGAGAGCCAATTTTTTTTATATTTCATACACAATTTTTTTGTTTTTTATTAAATTATTATCTGTGTACATATTTTAACATTGCCCGCCCCCCTCCCATACATACCCTCCCTCCCAAAGCCAAATTTTTAAAACTTATTTTAATGCCACTTCTTCAAAATAGACTCGTCCAGTCCATGGTATTTTGTGGAAGAGCCACATCAAGGGGCCAAAGAGCTACACGTGGCTCGTGAGCCACAGTTTGCTGACCACGGGGCTAGAGGCTCCCTACTGGGTCTGCTGTTAGCCCTTGAGCCCTGATCCTGGGGAAAGCCCCAGAGAGTGCTCACGGAGCTCAGGACGGTGTCTCCCTAGGGGTGGAAGCACTGCAGTGTTAATTGGTAATGATGTGTTCCTGCTGCCTGTGGACATCAGTCCTGCTTGCACCTCCTCCCCTGCCCACCAGGCTACATCATTCAGCCCACCCACTGCAAAGATTACACCCCATGATGTAACCAATGTGTATTCCTCAGGGCCAGCAGGAGGGGAGTGAACACTGTGCCTGATTTGAGGGGGTGGGCGGCTAGGGGCTCTTTCCCAGGACCAATCAAATCTAGGTGAAAGGCCAACTGCAGGGCCCTTGGGACAGGGTGGAGTCCTGCCCGCCTCATTTGTTTGGCTAATAATCTTCCTCTGGCCTTTTCCTTCCTACATTGTATGTTTTAATCTATTTTACAATTTTTTCCCATTTAGCGCTGATGAATTCCAGTTTGACCTTAAAAACTACAATTCCCCAATTGGCAGTCAAAAGATACCTACCTCAGCAAGAGAAGCAGAAAGTGTTCCTTTTTCCTCAAAGTGTAGAAAGGCAGCCACTGTCTGGGGCAGCAAATGCTATTTTTAAAGACGCCCAACTTCAGGGGCTGTGTGCGTACCTTCAACCTCCAATCCCAGGAGTTCTGCGGGGCTGTCTCTGCTCCTGGCCCAAGTTCACAACACTGGACTGAACTTGACCTCTAAGGAAGTAGGACTTGGGCATGTGCCTCAGGTCCAGGGAGGGAGCTGGCCCTTCTCCCACCTAAAATAAATAAATGGTTCTGCAAAACTTACAAGGAATGAGCCTGATTTAAATTAACAGGAAATGAAGAGCAAAACCACAACTTCCAGGCTATAGTAGAAACATACTTCAATATAATACTCAAATATAGCTTTCACTTTTTACAACAAATACTGTAACAAGTTTGTTTGTGTGTGTGTGTTTTTGTTTGTTTTACCTTTTATATAAAAATCCAATCCTACCTCCTCTGAAATCTTACCTTCCCATTGACCCTGCCTCTTGTGATCTCAAAGTCCTCCATGCCTGGCACTTGCAGGGAAGCCAGAGAACATCAGTGGGACTTAGCTGTTTCCTATTCATCTGGTGAAGAGCCACTTATGTGATGGGTGGGTCTCTCCCAGAGGACAAGCAAGACTTGATGATGGGATCTTGGAAATTCCATGTGCTGACAAAGGCTAGAGAGGTGAGAGGCTGGGCCAGGACCCTGGGAAGTTCACAGGCAGGTGATGTAGACATAAGAACTGCAGTCTTCAGACCTAGTGGGTAAGTGAGTGCTCTGGCTGCCTGTGGGCCTAGGTGACAGGGACCAGCCTGTACCTGCAGAGGGATGATAGGGGGGTTGGGGGGAGTGGTAAGAGCAGTTCCTTAGCTAAAGACAGCTAGTCTCTGGTTCCCAGAGAGCAATAGGCACCCAAAGCAGCAAGTGAGCCCTGGGAATCCAGGTCAGCCTGCCAACAGTCTGGCATCATACACAGCCAGAACAGAGGTCCAATGGTGAGACGAGTCTGGAAGTGGCCTGGGCTGGGAGGTGCCTGGCTGGCTAGGCCCACTGTTTAGCTAACTGCTGAGCCACACCCTATAGAAGTGCTCCTGAGGCTGGCAATTGCCAAGAGTCAGAAGATGCCCATTGTGAACTAAAAAAATAAAGCTAAAAAAATATTAGAGCAGAGGCGAATAATAGAGAACAGGGAGAAAAACTAAAGCAAACGTGGTTCTTCTGAAAATGATAACTACAGCCAGAGTTGGATCTCATCCTATCTCTGGATCTGGTGCTGGAGCTGGCTAGAGCCCAGGGGTACATGCTGAGGC